CCAGCAGGAGGGAGCTGAGCCCTTTGCCAGGACAGAAACAGTGCAGACCCCAGTCCTGCACTGCACCAAGCACCTGTCTCCCATCACCCTGCACTCCTCTGCTCACAAGGGTAGTTTTGAGAAAAGAGCAGGTCTCTATCTATCCCATGGAAAATGGTAATTTGACAGGAATAGGTGTAATCCCTCAGCATTATTACTTCATTTGTGTAGCAGATTTCTGTTTCATGCCAGTAAGTGTTTATTTTAGTCTCATTTTTAACAGAGGGACTTGGGGAATAGGGACAGAGATCATCCCCCATGTTGCCAACGAGTTGGGCAGGGAGATTTAAGACCATTAGCCAGGTTATGAAACATTTAATGGCAGGGAAAAAAATCATGTTAATGCTAACCAGACAGATTCCCTGATGAGGGCCTGGGGGTTTCTCATGGCATGTTTCTAAGACAGTGTGGACCTTAGATGCACAAATCAGAGGACCTGGCACATATAAAAATGAATGCAATACAGCAAATGATTATTCACATTTCTAGGTACTCATCAGCCAAACCAAATGAATTTGAAAGCAGAATTCTTACTGCACTGGACCATTAAGACAGTAGATGAACATAGAACTAAACGTCTGAGACTTGATATGGAAAACCTTAAAACTTTGCATAGAATTGTTCAAAGATGACTCAAAAACAACTTGCAGAGAAGCACTGCTACTCCATCTCACACTGATACACTTGGATCATCACTTCCAAATAAATAAAAGGAAAAAACAACATAAGGTGTATTTGCAAATCTACGCTTTAATCATAACCACTGCTTATGGCGATTTATTTCCCTAAGGAACACCTTAAACCAGTACCTGTACAGTATTTATTACTGACCGCTGCTTAAATGGACTTTAAATTTGGCGCAAGCGTCCTCAAGCAGGACAGAGGCTCTGACTTGACTACTTTTATAACCAAAGCAACAACAGATTTTCCCGTCAGATTGCGGTTTCCCCGGACGGGCACAGGGCGGGTTAAGCCGGGAGTCCGACGGTGAGTTGGCTGCGGCGCCTGCCAAGAGCACCCGCCCGTTCTCTGCGGGCTGAAATGGAAATCCGAGGAGGGGATCTCTCTTGGGGGGGACAGACGTGGCTCTGACGGTGACACATCAGCGGACGCGCAGCGCTCGGAGTGTTGTGCAGGAGCCCGGCAGGTACACACGGACCCGTCTCCCCGGACCCGCCCCACAACCCCCGCGGCCCCGCCCGGGCCCGCTCTGCCCGCGGCTGAGCTCCATCGGGCATCGCCCCGGCCTCCGCCGCCAGCCCCGGGCTGGCTGAGCCCTCCGGCGAGCCGGTGCTGCGGGCGGGGACACGTATCCCATATCCCGCTACCTGTTCTTCTCCTGAGGCGACCTGACCTGGTCCCCCTCCAGCGGGAGGGCAGCCCCCGCCGCGGGTGCGGCTCCCTGGGGCGGGCGGCGCCTCCCTCGGCCGGACATCTGCGAGCCCTGAGCGGGGACGGCCGCGGCTCCGGGAGCGCTGCCCATCCAGCAGCTCCATCCAGCTCGGGCGGAGCAAAGCGCAGCGGGGCTGGGGCCGAGCCCCCCGGGACGGTGTGTGAGCAGAGCCGGGGCTGGGGCCGAGCCCCCCGGGACGGTGTGACAGACTCTGCCGGGCCGGGGCCTGAGGCGAGGGGCGCACGAGTCTGGGCCCGCCGGCTCCTCCCTTTCTCCCCCCACCGCCGCCTCACCTGAGGGGAACCTGCAGAACCTCCGGCCTCCCTCCGCAGCCACACCGCAAAATGGAGCCTGTGCGGCCGGCGGTGCCCGCCCCGCCCCCGGCACCGAGCCCGCCCCGGCCCGGCCCACGGGCCCGCCGGCCGCGCCCGGTTCTTTGCTGCCTGTGCAGGCTCGTCCGGTCTCGCTGAGGGAAAGCTGCGGTGTGCCCAGTTCTCCCGCAGGACGGATGAGAGGTAAGTTCACAGGCGCAAGTGCCACAAACGCGGAGCGACTCGCCAGTGGAGCTGTGCCAGGGAAGCGTTCACTCGGGAAGCGCCCGGGAGTCCTGTGCCACCTGCTAGGAAAGGAGGGAGAAGTCCACACTGCAGCTTTCCTGTAGCACCGCTGCAGTGGAATTCAGCCCTAAAGGATGTACCTCTAAATCGAGTCTGTAATCCACTAACACTTGAGTCTTTAGATCAACATCATCATTCAGTAGCCATCAGGGAGTCAGTCAAGTCACCTAGGCCATCAGAACTGCGTGTAACACGCAAAGAATATAAAATACATAAGTGGATGGAGCTGGAGGAGTTGCTGCTTTTCATGTAGTTACTCAAGATCAGGATCTAGGTCCCAAGAGGACTAAAGATATAATTGTCCTGACTACTACATACAGTTTTATAGAAAGAAATCTTAATTACAGTTATTTGTATGTAATTAGGGAAGTGTAGTGTTTTGTTTCTGTCTATTGTAATGTTTATTCATAGTGTACTCTGAATAGATATTACATACACGTTACCTGATGGTTTATTCATAAGACATTCTGACCAGCCAGATACAATTTAGGAAGGATCCATCTATGATATTATGCACCAGTTACTTGAGGTTATTCAAAATATCTTTTTTTATGATAAACACATTAGCAGTTCAGAGACCATTCAAATGCGAACAGGTTTTTTTTCCTATAATCTGGTGCAGCACTTCAGCTCTAGATGAAACAACAGCCACTGTTTTATTTGTCTGTAAAACGGCATGAAGTGCAGGCAGCAGAAAATAGGTGGGTAATAATTTACTATGCTTGTTCGCTTCAAATGAAGAGCACCTAAAGCCACATAAAGAATCTGATAAATTACCTATCTAGCAAAACTGGGCTTGTTCTCTCTTGTTTGCCCAGAACACAGCAGGAGTGGCTTTAAGAATTTGATACTCACAGCATTCTTCAGCTGACACTCCGAGTGTCTGTCTACTTTATTTTACCTCTGTTAAGCACATTTCTTTCAGGAGAGGTATATATTTAAATCCCTGTTTCCATGGGAACCAATTACGTTTATAAAATACACAATTCTTTTTCTCTTCTTCCATTTAGTGAACCATTTGGATTTGAGCTATTTAGGAAAATAACAATTTGGAAAGGAAGAAGAGAAAATATTTTAACAAACTGACAAATGTCTGAAGAATCTGTTACTGAATATTAGTGTCAGCAGGAATATTTGGAATTACTTTTTTAGAGCATGAAATGGAACCATTGTGGTCATCTAATTTGACTCCTTATATTTAAAGGAAATCCCTTGGCTTGTTGGTATAGCTGGAGTCTGCACATTTAGGAAACCTTCTAAAACCCCAAGCACAGTCAAGGCAACTTTTCACTATAAGAAAATTCAAGTTCAGTGAATTTAGGAGACAAACTCTTGTTCTTCTCCTTTGTAATATTCTTGCATCTGCTCCTAAGACATGATACTGGACAGAATTCTGGTCTGGAGTGACTTGGCTCCACTTCATAGCAGTCCTGACTGAGTGCTATCAATAGAGCTGAAACAATTATTCTTTTTTTCCAGAGAAATTTATTGTTGATGACATAGGTCACTAAAGCATTGCTGCTCCTCCTATGTATCCTGATTGGAACATTATCCCCCACTTAAATAATAAGAAGCATTACTTTGATGTTCTATTCCAGCCGATACAATTAAATTAAAAACAAAAAACTTTCCCTCAGTTTGTTGTAAGAAAGAAGTTCTGGGCAGCTTTGAACCACAGGTCAAAGTATAACAAACCAACAGGATACTGAAGTGGTCCAAGTCTACATTATGTACTAAAAATACTTTTCCTGTTAGACTGCCTTGTGACTGCAGTCATTAAAATGCACATAGCCCCACTTGGCTGTTGAGTTAACCCTCTGTGTGTGCAGGGAGCACGTTCAGCTCACTTCAGGAGGAGCTGTGAGTTTGGTTAGTTGCTCAAGGGAGAGTCATTGCCCAGTGAGTCATGTTAGTGCTCCACCCGCTGTGGTCCAAATCTTAGGATTTCACACAGTCCTTACAGTTGAGTTGCCAACGGGTTTCTAGTTCCGTTGTGTGGAAACTTCATCCTTCCTCAAAGCACAGGAGGAGAACAGCAGGTTGTTCTGCTTAACTGCTCTAAAAGAGTAATATGTCTAACATTTTTCACCATCAACCTTTTAATCCTTAGGATTAAAGCCATGCATTTCAGGTGTACATGGCATATGTCCACACGTTCACAAATTCACACCCCAAAACACTACTTCCTCTTTGCAGCAGACTTAAGTGTTCTGCCAAAAAACTTAAATGACTCAACTAACAAAGCAAACTTAGTAACCTTCATCCCAGTATACGGAAATAACCACTCAATGAAATTATAATTCTGGAACCAGAGTTGTTATTCCCAACAATATAGAACTTTATACTGCTGAGTTAAGAAATATTGGAGCATTACCAGCTCCTCCTGAAATTTTATGAAGGCATTTCTGTTAAAGATAGTTCTCCTGCAAGTATTGATTTTCATAAGTAACACAGAGTGCTTTCATGTGCTTGCATGTTTTACATGCACTCTTGACAGATGTGAACTAGCACAGCCTTACTATGATAGGAAGATATCAGATCAAAGCATAATATCTGTGTGCTAATTAAACTGCAGGTTGTCAGAAGTCACCATCCTCACTGAAAAAACCATAAGATTTCATTGCCTCTGTACTGCCCAGAGATGCTTTGCTGAAACTGTTCCTTTGTTGAAGCTGACTAAGATTACATGTCTGAGAAGGGCCCAAGGCAACAAGCTGGACTGATTTTATACAGTCCTGCAACTTCTACCAAAAGGGAACAAGAGAATCAATTGTAACATTCTACTCTGTTCTGAATATTGTTATGTATATCCAGGAAAAGTGTTCAAGGAGAACTTCATAGTGAGATAAAAACCCAAGATCAGTTCAACTGATTGCCACAAATAAACATGTAATACCAAAATGTCCAGCAATGTTGCACTCATTCAGAGAAGCCACTGAAGAAAATGAACATGCCAAAAGATAGAAGAGCTTTTATTATATTAGTGAGATCACTAATGTGACTAAATGTAATGTACAGAAGCATATCCAGAGAATTACCTATCTCAGCTATTTAAAGCTAACTTTGTCAAAGTTACTTGGAGCAACACATCCTAAACAATCAAACAAAAAAAGGAGAAAAGTCCCCTAATAAATCCATACAATTAACAAATCAATAGCAAGTTAAAGCTCGAAATCCTTGATATTTCTTGACTCTGAAGCTTTTCCCACCAGATTTTCTATTGAACTTCAAATTTTTAGATAGATTTCTGTACACTGGAACAATTCTAATAGAATACCTTTACTAATTCCTGTATACATTTTACAGTTCCAGAGAAGGAATGCCTTCTGGTAATAACACAGCAAAGGCTTTACAATTAAGCACAATGATGCATTACAATTGTGTTTGCAATGTTGTCCTTCACAAGAGTGGCCACTGAAATTTGAAATCAGGCATTCAAAATTCCAGAGTCAAAGTAAGGATCATCATGTGTCCGTTCACAAGGACACAACAGATGGGATTAGTTTTTAAAGGGAAACTCTTTTCCTACTCCAATTCCTAGCATTTGGCACTGTGCTGTCTGGCATACACCCAAACCCATAGACTTTGGTCTCTTCAGACAGCTGCTTTGAAGTGAATCGTTTTAGCTAGGAAGCCATAACCTCAGTCCCTTATGATATGTCTTCATTAGTCTGCAGGTACTTCCAAGTACTGGCAAATTACACAGTGATCACAAATTGATTCTTTCATCTCAGAACTTTTCATGTTGTTCACACTAGCTTATTAAACAGCACAGCTATTCAACTAGGAGAGTGTTAAAAATCTTTCTTCTTACATTTTCTCACTTTTCTAACAGGGAATGGCAAAGAGTTTCCTGCAGAGATCAGGGGAAGAATATTATGCCTCCCCCCCTGCAACTTTTTTGCAGTAATTGACTTACCCAGCTTTGCAGCTTGCTCTTTTCTTCCATCAATGTCAAACTTACTTTAAAAAACCTTGTGAAACGTTAAATGTTTGAAGTTAAGAACATTAAGTTTAAAGAAGAGAAGGGAAAGCAAAACATTTTTATTCAGAGTAATAAAAACCAGGAGTTGGGTCCTAATAGTTATTTAATGCTCACAAATAAGATTTTCAAATGAGATGGGGATCTTTGCCATACTTTCAGTTTTCATGTATATTGTCCTTGCAATTAGAACTTAGAATTTAGCATTTAGTCACTGGGGGAACTCTTATAAAAATTGGAACCAGTACAGGATCTACAGATTTGTAACGTGAGTCTCATTCTTGGAATTTATCTGACAAATTAGGAAAACAATTATTTTGGGGAACACTCTCTTTGCATACTTCTCCAACGTTTCAAACTCATTCACCGAAACAGACCGAGTCAAGTAGTTAGGTGGGAACAGGTATGTCGTAGCAGAGGGATGCCTTAACTCCGTTAGGCAAACCTCCTCAGTACAGCTGAACAGCCTTCTAAAGGTGATGTTGTTAGCTGAGACTGTGCAAAGTTGCAGATAATATTGGTATTCGCTCAGCTAGAACTCATTTAACATGAAATATGTCTTGGGGAGAAAATGGCGTTTCTGTTTGCATAATTTTAGCAGCAGTACAGGGTTATGAAACATAAAATTCCTATTTGATGACACCCAACTTTTAACATCAAATTTCATGAACTGTCATTTTGCTGTCCCTTTCTTCTTTGGCAAAGATGAAACTCCAGGAAGCACGCTTATTTAGCCACAAATGCTTTTCAAGCTCTTTTACCATAAACACAGTTGCTGGCTCTAATTCTCTGAACCCTCACTTTATGAGGGGCTAATGTTTTTGATTTTGACTTCCTTTCCCAAAAGATCAGAAAATAATCAGATGCATAGAAATTATATAATAAACTGAATTTGCCATCTCATACTCTGTCAGTACCCTGCTGAAGGAATATACACAGCACCACTAATAAACCAGTGACCACTCTGTAGTCCTTCATGGTAAAGCATATTACATGCAGCACAAAACCCCACACTTTCAGTGTGCTTTCACAGTTGGAAAAAAAACCCTGCAAAGAAGTCTGCAGAACTGGAGTTGATTTGCATCTACTTCTTTGCTGATGCCATGTTACCCCCTCCCTTTCTTTTAAAAGTGGATTCATTACACAATAAATGAGAACAGTTTCTTCTAGACAGAAGCCATTCTTGCCACTGCAATGGAACTTTTATTCCCAATACATTCTTACAATAAAGCTGTATTTTGTTATACAAGTAGATAAACCCAGGAGACAAAAGATTCTCATATTCCATTTTAAAATATCAGGCTCAACTGAACTGCAGCCATTCCCATTCATTTCCTGAAGCACGTTAGGGATTTTTCAGGGCAATGGAAATAAAGATGTAAACCAAGTCATGTAGGTAATTAAATTACGGTCCAAGGAAGTTTGTAACACCATAGAAAAGTGTATCTACTCCTTCTTCGGGCTCCTTTAAGTGTAGGATGGCAACAGTTTCTTTATAAACTCAGAAGTTTTTCGTTGAGAGCAATCTGTGACTGTGTGAGGTTTGCCAAGTAGGTTACCATCAGTAGGTCCTGAAAGAGGGAAAAAAACCAGTAATCAGAAATATGAACAAAGATTGTAACTTATTAGGGAACTGAATTTTTAACACCTGTAAATCATTTTATAATCAGCTACTAGAACTATTGTTAGTCCTGAAAGTCCTACCCTGAGGAATGCTTCCCTTGCAGGAAGCTTTTGGTATTCCTGCAATATGAAACACGGCTTGTGAAATTTTAACTTGAAGTTCACCTATGTTAACCAGGCAAGTCAAAGGGTATAGGCAAAATTAAAAATTAGTTCTGATCTTGCAGACTGTGGGTGAAAAACACATTCAGAAACTTATTTCTGTAGAAAGAGAAAACTAAGGTAGTGTGCTAGAACCTTGTTCAAGTCCTAAGTGCTATGCAAGGAGACAGAATTTCAGCTCAGGCAAAGGAAGCTGTCAAGTCACCAGTTATCCTTGAAATTCAAACTTTTAAAGTTTTGTAATTCATGTTGTCCAATCAAAATGAAAGAAGAATTGGTGCTGGTTTGCAGATTACTTGCATAATTCCTAACTACTTTAAAATTTATTCTTTGATCTGCAGTTGATTGCAATATTATTATGGTGAGCTCCTTTATCCACCTTCAGCCCTGACAACAAAGGGCTACTAACATGTTTGTATGAAAAGATTGTTTTGATCACAGACAAATTTGTGTCTGTATGACAAATTTTCAAAATTGCTGGCAATTCACAGAAAAAATTAAATTATGAACTTACATTGATATTGCTGTTCAACATTGTCTCAAAGTCCTCTGGTGAAATCTTTGGCACCTGGTTAATAAGATCCATCAGGAAACGCCCAACAGTGTTGTCAGCAGCCACTTTGCCAGACTAAGCATAAAAACACACACTTCACATGAGTAAAACTCAGAAAGTTTATGGCCCAGAAAGAGAAAATATAAAAAGAAAAATGAGATGCCCAAGTTTACATCAAACTTATTTTCTGGCTGATAAAAAGCTGGCCTTACCAACACATCCTCGGCATACTGCAGCACCATGGTCAGGGTATCCTGAATCCGGGCTGAGGCTGAGCCCACCTGCTGTAAGTCACTGGACAAGCCAATCACTCGATTAGGGCTAAAACAGGTCTTCATGATGAGATCCACTGAAAGCCAAAGGAGAATCGATAAAGAAAACTGTCACAGAACCCAGCTGAGGATTCTTTAGGACAGCTTCAGCAAGACAGTCTAATTCCCAGTAGAATTCCCAGAATGGCAATTTTACCAGGGTAAAAAAAAGCATTTGAACAGTGTCACAACAATGGTTATAACCAAAATAGGGAAGAAGCACTCACCTCCTATCCGCTCTGTATCATAATAAACATATTTCACTGTCAGGGGTGTGAACATCACGCCCATAGTTTTACCAGGGACTCCCATTGGGGCACTAGGAAAAAAAAGAACAAAACATTTTCAGCATGGACATATATAAAGGAGGAAGAAATAGATTTCCATCTCAGTGATCTCTGTTAGCACTAAAGCATGAACATGAGTAGGTTGCTCCTTCTCACCAAAATCAGCAATTTTATGACTAAGGATAACTGACCACAGGAAATCAGTTCTGGCATGCTATTAATTGCCCATTTTCATCCAAGAATATTCTTAGCTGTCTGACATTTGTCAGCATGAATGCATGAAGAGCTAAGCACTATGATCTTAGCCACAGTTCCTTGCTTATAGAGCAGGTATTCTTCTATCCTGAAATACTTTGAGAAATCACTGAAGGAACAAACAAATATGGCAAAATTCAAGTTCAAAGCACTCTCAACACATTTATTACTCCTAATATTCAAAGTATTTGAAGTCCATTATACTTTAAGTAATATGTCATGGAACAACTCCCTTTTTGAAATTGCACAGTCAAGAAGCAGTACTTTCTCTACAAAGAAAGGCTTGGGATTTTTATCTTACAGAGGAGAGCTCTTCAGCCAATACTAGGAAGAATTCAGTGAAGTGGAAGAGTTTAATTTCTCAATATTTAATCTTCATTAATTGACAAAAATGAAGGGGTTAACACAAGAAAGACTCATCAAGAAGATGCTGTTTCAAGTATGTTTTAACCACACTAATCCTCCAACTTGTATAAATAAACCCAAAGGCTACAGGCTAGCATTCAGTCAGTGTGATGAAGTTAGTGACATTACCGCTGGCTGTGTGAATCCTGTGAAATGTCCCAGAGATGTTCAGAACGCTGCTAATTAAGTCACAATTCCCCACCCCAATGAGCTACCAGCTTATGAAAGGTTAGGTCTTTCAACCTGCATCCAATGGTCAAGACATTCCAATGAGAAGTAAGCAATGGTCCCTGGCTCACCACTGTGTTTTAGCTACTGCCCAATATTGTCCAAAATGGGACACTGCAGTCTGCTACATTACTTGTTACCCTGAAGGGGTGTCTCTCAGTAACTCCCATTGCTCCCCTGAAGAAATGCAGCCTCACAGGGTACCTGACATAGGCTTTAATGCTCATGCGTGAATTCTGGAGACTTGTGTCCACAGTGAGGTGGATTGGATTGTGCGCTTCCCGGCTGTAATACTCGTGGATCAGGACTGAGTGTTCCGTGATGTCATGACCTGTTGCATACCTTCAAAAGAACACATGTTGAGGAGCCATTCTTCCAACATTCAAGTGCCTGCTCTTCCATACTGTTGGTATTTAACAGGTTTGTATGATAAACCACTGACTTCCAAACACTGAGCTGCAGCAGCATACTAAATACAAGTGTTTTAACTAAGGATTCTGTAGTTTTATGGCCACCTGTCCTAGAATTGTAGAAATCACAGGCTGAGCACACCCTTGCCCAAAATATGCACGGGGCTGGTGTTGCAGTACCAGCAATGTCGGTACGACTGACATCAGACATCCCATATTCACTTATCTGTCACTGTGTTCTGGACCAACTCTTTACTTCTGTACAAATTCAGACCAGCTTTGTCTTCCACAAATCAAACATCTCTCTGCAGGAGGTATAACTCGTTCATCTGGCTCCTTTAACTGCTCTGCAATTAGTGTCTCACATCCACAGGGAAAGTCCTGTCATCAGAACTGCACTTTGCTGTGCCATTAGAAGGTTGTTGAGGAAGTCTGCTCCACAGGAACAGAACAAAGCTATTTGGTAGGATCAGAGAGGCAAGAAAAGTCTAATAAACACTCTGTGTCACACACTCAGACACACTCTGTTCCCATATAAATGTACTGATCTTGCTTTGCAACCCACACGCAAGTACTTCAACCTTTTCTCAGCAGAGAACTATGCACTCAAGCTGGTATCAGTGATTCCCCCGATGCCACTGGTACTTGAAACTACTCTTTCGTGTTCTCCCTTCTTTCTAAGCAGTTAACTTCCACGTATCACAGGTAGTGTGTTCTAACAAAGCCGTGAAAGCATTTTCTGACTCATCACTCCTCTGTGATACCTTGCTAGACATAAACCAAACCAAACCCTGTAAGTCTCCAGTACTCTCTCTTCCTTTTATGAATTGGAGGACCTTTACCACTGACTATAGAACAAGAGTTGCGAGATCCTACTGTCACAACCATTAGTGCTTCTGCTTCTCCATCTGTGACAAGGTGAATTATGTATTTCAAGTAGTTTAAGGGACCAACATAACTGCTTGCGCGTTCTTGCAGAAGAACTTACCAGCCCAAGATGATCTCGCTAGGAGACACCTTTTTGTGCAGCTCATACATGTTTTTGGCAAACTCCATATCGACTGCCACCTGAGAAACGGGACAGGGCCGAGTCAGCGGTTACAGGGCTTTTTAACCCTGGGCGGGGGCAGCTCAGGCTCCAGCCTCATCTGCGGAGCCCAGAGCCCCCCCGGGCCGGCTCCCTACCTCATCCTCGGACTCATTGTGCGGGACGGAGAAGCAGTTGGTGACCTCCACCGAGTGCTTGTCCACGGTCCCTGCGGGAGGGAGAGCAGCGGGTTAAGGGGGGGCGGGGGGTGCTCGCCCCCAGGCCGCGGCGGGGCGGCGGGGCGGCGGCGGCTCTTACCCAGCAGCGTCCCGATGACCCGCGCCGCGCCCTCGTTGCGCCGCTCGAAGCTGTCCACGATGGAGGCGAGCACGACCGGGTGCAGCCGCACCACGCGGCCGCCGGGGAAGGGGCCCGAGAGCGCGGCTGACAGTGGTGCGGCCGGCGGCGGCGGGGCCGGGGCGGCAGGCGGGGCTGGCGCGGCCGCGGGGGGGGCGCTCCCGGCCGGGGTGGCCGGAGCCGCCGTCGGGCTCTGCGGCGGTGCTGTCGCGGGAGGAGCCGCACTGGGCGCCGTAGCCGCCATTTTGCAAGGAAGAGAGGCCGGAGCCTCCGCGCCGACACTGATTGGCTGAGCCGAACGCCTGTCACGCAGCGCTACCTTCCTATTGGAGAGAAGGGCACTCTAAGGCCCGCCTTCCACCTGGTAACCAATCCGGGGAGCGCAATGGGGGAAGGCGCTCTGATTGGAGGAAGAGCGTGCCGTCCGTGACTGAAGCTCACTCTTGTTCCCGCCCCCCAGGGCCGGAGAGGTTTTCAATTGGGCTCTGGCATTCCCCACCTCCCTCCCTATCCGCTCTTCTATTGGCTAGCATGACCCCTCCCTGCTGTCTGTCAGGCAGAAGAGCTGTTTATTGGCTGCGGCCGTGCCACTCCTCCACAGTGGCGGAAGAGCCGAGTGCTCCCCGGGCCGGCGGGGCGGGTGGTGCTGCTGCTGCCTCGGCCTGTGAGGGCACAGGCGGCAGGTGCTGCTTCATGGCTGTGTGGTGACGCGGTAAACGTGGCAGTGCAGGCGCGGCACCCAGTGAAGATGTGCCAGTAGTGCTGAGCGTGGGGTTATACAGCCCTTGAAGTCTGGGCCCGGCGAGACCGGCCAGTGCTGTTAGTCCTGTTTGCCAGCGCTGTGTTGGCAGTGACGCATGGAGGAGTGAGTGGTTGTCAAGTCTCGTGTAGAGAGCAAATGGAGGTGGTAATCTCTAGCCAGGGCTTAGCGATTACCCAGCAAACTTACTGACTGGATATAATTTGCCTAGTGCTTGTAGTGCCCCGTGTGTGCACTCTCGAGCAACAAAACCGTGTGGGTGGGGCAGGTGTGGTGGTGAAATGAAGCACGTACGCTCTCAATAACTGGTGAGAGGACTGGATTCCTCAAGAGCTTCCTCTTCCTTCCTTAGCCGTGTGTATGCACCTGTTACCAGTTGTAGTAACATAGTAACAGATTTACCTCTTAGTTCAAAACATTTCATCGCTGTTCTTAATGTTTGACAAACTTTCAAGGCAGAACTTCACATGTCATTGAAAAGTTTGGGGCCTCTCCGGCTTCAAGCTGTTCTCTTCCCACAAGTAAATCGTGTGTATACACATCTATAAACAGCGAAAGATAGAGAAGTCTTGCCTCCTGATAAAATGCTTAGTCCAGTGGAACTATGGCAGCCAAAAAAACTGCATCAGTCCTCTGGCACTACTTTGTCTACCAGGTGGCTATTTGAATAATTGAGAACATTCCCAGGTAGTTGTTTCCCAGGTGTGGCAGAGAGAAAAGTGCAGTGGTGGCTCTGGTGCTATCTCAGATACCATCTTTACTCTTTTATAGATCTGCTTTGGGGTCCTGACACACTCTTTCCCACATTTGGCTTACCAGGTAAAGTAATTTTAATATAAAAAAAAGATTTTATCATGATGGATGGCCTTTGGAGGTTTCTCTGCTTCATTAGTTGAGGCATGAATGTGTCATTGAAGACAGGCTCTTCAGTATAAAAGGAGCAGCTCAATAAAAAGATCACACATCCTGCCCATGTGCCAGCAGTTTGCTTCTTTTACGTAAGTGGGGAACACCCATCAAAGCTACAAAGGAGAACTAAAGCACGGGAACATGACCAGATTTTATCTCTTCATGAAAGCACTTCCAGGTCTGCATAACAGCAAAACCTAGATCTCCTATTCTTAGGCTTTCTTTTCTCTGCAGCTTTCATTTCTTGTAGGTGTGCCTGGGTCAAATTGCATAAAGCTTTAAAGATGTTTCTGCTCCCAGGGCTTTGATGTGTCATTGAGAAGTCTAATGTGTGAGGTGTTCTTATTAGAGAGCAGCTGTTTGATCTCATTCTTGTTTGCATCAAACTGTCCCTGGTGCCTAATTTGACATAGTCAGGTGCAGAGTCATGTGAAGCAAGCAAGGCTGTATAAGAGCTGCCCATTGTACTTTTATGTTGCCACCTTAATAACTGGGCAACTTAATATGGAGCTGCAGTTGTGCTTCAAAACTGGCAGCTGTGATAACCTTCTTTTAATATGTAGCTGTCAAGTTGCTGGACAGAGTGTTGGAGAGTGTATGGGGTGAGTAAAGATGGATGGCCTCTATCTCAAAAGCCAGAGATCAGGGGTTGGCTCACACAAAGCCCACTTAATACAGAGATTGTATAAATCTATAGGAACATCAATCATGTCATAGTGCTTGGAGCAGATGTGTCCACGCTACAAAACTGTTTTTCCTTGCTGAATGACTGCTGAAAAATCAAGACCTGAAACAATACTGTTTCACAGAGTATCAGTTTACTTTTAGAGGAGGGTAGATACACTTATCATTGGTGTCTATTGATGAAAAGTTGATGTCCATCTAGTAAGATGATTAAGATGTTCTGATACTACCCCGTTACAGACATCTGTTTGCCTAGAGGAGAAACAGAAGACATGTTCACGTGTGTACATAGATCAGTGTGGTAACTCAAGGCCCTCTGATTTTACATTTTTCCTTGCTTGGTTTCCCTGCATCTGATTTTGGTGGTGAATATAATTAATCACCTAGCTCTGCTCTTATATGATTCCTCTTTATCATCCTTGCGTGTGACTGAGCCATTATTATCGCATTTGCTGTCATTTCAGCTGCATTTTCACAGATGATGTATAATTTTTTTATCAGTAACTATCTTCTTATCTTGCCTGTATTACTGGAAGTAACATCATCCCTTGCTCTAGGCAACAATATTTTTTACATTGCATTACAGGTAAAATAAAATACTTATAATTTATTTGATTCATTGTTTCAGGATGTAGTTTTATCTGGTTAGTTTCATGGGATTGAATCTGACATTTTTATTCCTTTATTATGAGAAAAGTTTTCTATTGTGCATTCTGTCTACAAATGGAAGGAGACACGGCCAGGACAGGTGACCCAAAATAACCAAAGGGATATTCCATACCATATGGCATCATGCTTGGTATATAAAGTGGGAGCAAGAAGGAAGAAGTGGGGATGTTTGGAGTAGTGTGTTTGTCTTCCCAAGTAACCATTACACGTGATGGGTCTATGCTGTCCTGGGGATGGTTTAACACCCCATGGGCTTAACAAGGCCCATGGGAAGCAGTGAATTAATTCCTTGTTCTGCTTTGCTTGTGTGCATGGCTTTTGCTTTCCTTAAACTGTCTTTATCTCAATCCATGAGTTTTCCAGCTTTTACCCTTCTGATTCTCTCTCCCTGATCCCACTGGTGGAGGTGTGAGGAAGTGGCTGTGTGGGGTTTGGTTGCTGGCTGTGTTTAAACCATGGCAAGGATCTGTATGTTCTGCCTTCTATGCAAGACTTTTGTATGATGCAGTCGTGGGCAATGATTTCAAGTTTTGGGTTGTGAGGGGTTTATTTGGGGGTTTTGTTTTTTTCCCTATTAAAAAAGGTAATAGTTCTCTTATTTATTCTTAATTGAACATCTTAGATACTCATTTACTCTCATGCATTTGGGATTGCCAGTAAATGAAAGACAATTGTTGACAGCCACCAGCTCTCAGTGCACTGTATCAGCTCACTCAGCTTCATCATTTCAGCAAGAGGGATTCCAACCCTTCCCTGCTTTTGTGTAATGTTTTATGGGGCCACCTTAATTATCAGAGAAATAACACTGGCACATAGGACTACTGAGGTAATGCTTACAGTGAAAATCCAAATACCACCTAAAAATAATGAGGCGTAGTGCTAATTGCATACCTCACTGATAAAAGAATATACCTTTGCTAAAGTTAGAGTGGCTATGGAAGTTATCATTAGGTGATCAAAAATAGCACACTGGGGGCTGCCAGGTGCTTTTTAATCACTCTATGGAAATATAGAGATCCAAGCTAAAGTAAAAGTAACTTCACAGTAAAACTTGCCATAAAAAGTAACTGAGAGCAATGCCCACAGGCTGGCATACTTAGGGCAACAGATACTTTCGTGGTCAGAGTTTTACTCACTGAGGAAGGGAAAATAGAGAAGAAGAAAAATGCAAGACAGCAAATACAAGGATGAGGTAATAATAATAAATATATAGGAAATGGATGAAAAAAACCCCGGATAACTAGAAATAGGATTGTTTGGGAAACGTGAAACTTCTTGACATCTAAGATTTGTGGCCAATGAAGAATGGGGAATCTTGGGGTGGCTCCCAGAAGACAGACCAACCCTAGGTACGGCCTCTCCTGCCAGCCGGGCGGCTGTGCAGGCTCGCATTGTGCGGGCCCTGCAGGGGTGGTTGCTGGTGCCCGTTCCCGGCTCCCGTTCCCGGCTCCCGGTGCCCGGGGGATGAGCGGCGCTCCCCGGCAGAGGGAGCGCGCCGCCCGCCGGCACTGGGACCTCCGCGGGATTGAGGGGTTATTTATTGCTGAGGGAGGCACTTCGGCTTTCCCCTCGTACCACGGGAATTAGAGAGTCGCGAACACAAACCACAGCCTTTGTAACCACTTAGTGCTAATTAATTGGTGACTTCACTCTGCCTGCTTTGAAGTTAGTAGCGTAAGCGAGAATTTGTGCACAGTGCTTTTCCCACCGGGGTTTATTATATGTATTTCACTTACCAGTTTATTTTTTTGGTTAATAACATTGAGGTGGAATCAATGAGGTGAAATCTGTTAATTTTACCTTAATCCTACCTTGATGCCTCTGTGCCATTTCACATAAGAATGTCACAGACCGATTTACTTATGGGTATTATGGCTGTGCAATCCTAACGTGTGCTGTACAACCTGAGATTTTACTGAAATACATGGAAATGAAAGGTGTTTTGGGTCTTTGGTGAAAGCACAAACTCTCCAATCCCTCAAGACATTCCTGCTTCTTGATGATCTATAATAATGATTATTTTCTGCTTTTGACTCAAATCATGGTCAGATGCAGCTTTTGAGTGAGAGGCGTTTTATATACTACTTGTAATTAAAACTAAGATAGAATGTGCTTGCACTGACCTAGCAAAGCATTTAGGTGCACTACTCTGCAAGGTCAAACCTTGTGTCTTTACATTACATTGCATTTTTCTTGCTTACCCTGTGCAGTGAGAAGTGAAG